ATTTAGATAAAGATAGGGAAGTTTTTATTGCATTTATGGATTTAGAAAAGGTATATGATAGTGGATAGGGGAGCAATGTGGCAGATGTTGCAGGTATGTGGAATAATAGGTGGTAAGTTACTAAATGCTGTAAAGAATTTTTATGAGGATAATGAGGCCTAGGTTAGGGTAAGTAGAAGAGAGGGAGACTACTTCCCAGTAAAAGTAGGTCTTACACAGGGATGTGTAATGTCACCATTTTTGTGTAATACATTTGTAGATGGGGTTGTAAAAGAAGTAAATGCTAGAGTGTTCGGGAGAGGGGCGGGATTAAATTATGAGGAATCAAATACAAAATGGGAATTGACACAGTTACTTTTTGCTGATGATACTGTGCTTATGGAGGATTCTAAAGAAAAATTGCAAAGGTTAGTGGACGAGTTTGGGAGTGTGTGTAAAGGTAGAAAGTTTAAAGTGAACATAGAAAAGAGTAATGTGATGAGGGTATCAAATGATTTAGATAAAAATTGGATATCAAATTGGGGGGGAGGAGTATGTTTTCAGGAGTGAATGTTTTCAGATATTTGGGAGTTGACGTATTGGCGGATGGATTTATGAAGGATGAGGTTAATCATAGAACTGATGAAGGAGTGGTGCGTTGAGGTATATGTGGAGACAAAAAACGTTATCTATGGAGGCAAAGAAGGGAATGTATGAAAGTATAGTAGTACCAACACTCTTATATGGGTGTGAAGCTTTGGTTGTAAATGCTGCAGCGAAGAGGCGGTTGTAGGCAGTGGAGATGTCCTGTGTAAGGGCAATGTGTGGTGTAAATATTATGCAGAAAATTCGGAGTGTGGAAATTAGGAGAAGGTGTGGAGTTAATAAAAGTATTAATCAGAGGGCTGAAGAGGGGTTTTTGAGGTGGTTTCGTCATTTAGAGAGAATGGATCAAAGTAGAATGACATGAGATTATAAATCTGTTGGGGAAGGAAGGCGGGGTAGGGGTCGTCCTCGAAAAGGTTGGAAGGAAGAGGGTGAGGGAGGTTTTGTGGGCGAGGGGCTTGGACTTCCAGCAAACGTGCGTGAGCGTGTTCGATAAGAGTAAATGGAGACGAATGGTATTTGGGGCCTGATGAGCTGTTGGAGTGTGAGCAGAGTAATATTTAGTGAAGGGATTTAGGGAAACCGGTTATTTTTACATAGCCAGATTTGAGTCCTGGAAATGGGAAGTACAATGCCTGCACTCTAAAGGAAGGGTTTGGGATATTAGCAGTTTGGAGGAATATGTTGTGTATCTTTATAGGTATATGCTTCTAAACTATTGTATTCTGAGCACTTCTGTAAAAACAGTGATTGTGTGAGTGAGGTGAAAGCGTTGAATGATGGAAGTGTTTTCTTTTTTGGGATTTTCTTTCTTTTTGGGTCACCCTGCCTCGGTGGGAGACGGCCAATTTGTTAAAAAAAAATGAATTAGGTCACAAAAATATTTTATTAAAATATGCTTGTAAACATTTTTAATTGATTATGCTTCATTTATAGTGGGAAAAGTCAGGGTATTATTCACAATAGTTGGTAATATACCACAGTGGATAAAATACTTCGTCATTTCTGGAACATTTCTGAGTCACTTGTCTCTAAATTCATCAATTTTATCGTATTCCAGTATATAATGACGCAAGGTGTGACAATTGTTAATCTGGTAAAGTTTACTAGTTTGGTCTACATAATAATAATTAATAATAATAATAACTGTAATAATTTCTACAGGTATATGATACAACTTAAAGACCATAGCTGACATCAGAGACATACTATATATAGAAAGCCCCTGGTTATGCAGAGCATTTCGGGCATCTTAGGTTAATCTTGTCCCCCAGGATGTGACCCACACCAGTCGGCTAACACCCTGGTACCTACTGGCTGTTAGGTGAACAAGGACAGCAGGTGTAGGGAAACATGCCCAATGTTTTCATCCGCACCGAGGATCGAACCACGGACACTGTGTGTGAGAACAGTTTGCTACCAACCGTGGTGGTGATTTAACCTCCCAGTGATACTGGTAACCCAGCCTATAATATGAACACAGCTGAATTCACTTGTATTGTAAATAACTGTACCACCACCACCTTTTTTGTTAGGCCTATAGTTATGAAAAGTTGTGAACCCAGGTATGTTGAACATGTTGGTGTAGTGCTTCACTCAGATCTCAGTTTGTATAATAGAGAAAATGGTATTTAGAAATTCAAGTTATGCCATGACATCACCATTGTTTACTTGGTGACTTGGTGTTGTCAGGGAAGATACTTAATTTATTTTTATTTATTTATTTATTTCCAATTTGTGCACACATACAGAGGTACAAAAAAAATACAGATAAGAGCAGCATGCCAAAGCCACTTATACTATGCATAGCATTACGGGCTGGCTTAAAATTAACTTAGGATTAACTAAGCAATGATTATTATTATTATTATAATCAAAAAGAAGCGCTAAGCCACAAGGACTATACAGCGCTGCTACTAAGCAATGATGAAATCAGTGATAAAACATTAATGTAAACAGATAACTATAAAGCACAAGTGAGTATTACAAAGACAGGTCATATGGTTGCATTCAGTTAGGTAGTGATTCTGTTAGGTAGTGTATTTAAAAAATAATAAAGTTAGATTGGGTTTTAGGTTTAACATTTATGTGATATAATTGTGAGAAACATTTAAGATATACAAATTTATAATGTCCAGTTTTTTCAGTATTTATTTGGTTTTGGGTGATTAAGTGATCTTTGAGAAGAGGGCTTGAATTTATAAACAGGTAGTGTTTTTTTATATTTACGGTAATGAAATTTCCCGATTTAGGGCCTTTTATGTGCATTGAGTTTTTGCATAGTGTGAGATGGACACGAGGAACATCAAAGAGTGATCTGTGCCTTGTGTTATGGTCATGTGTTCTGTTGAGGTTGGCAAGGAGATGTTTGAGGGGAGGGTTAATATCAGAGTTAGTGTTCTATGTATGTAATAGGTGCAGTAATAAGTATGGTGTTTTGTATGGTGAGTAGGTTTAGTGTATTGAATATTGGTGGAGTGTGCTGCCTGTAGTGAGGAATTTGTTATCATTCTAACTGCAGCCTTTTGTTGGGAAATTAGTGGTCTGAGATGGTTAATTGTTGTTGAGCCCCATGCACAAATTTCCATAGGTGAGATAGGGGTAAATAGAGAGTGTTTATAGGGCCAGGAGGGCTGATGTGGAACATAGTACCGTATCTTCGATAGTATGCCTACAGTCTTGGAAATTTTCTTAGAAAATTTGATGTATATGTGTATGAAATTTGAGTCTATTATCAAGGTGGATTCCTAAGAATTTTCCCTCTGTTAGTTTTGTGATAGGTGATCATTTATCATTATGTTAAGAGGGACATCTGTAGCTCTGTTACCAAACTGAATGAAGTAGGTTTTGTCAATGTTTAGTGAAAGTTTGTTAGTCCTCATCCAGGTAGATTTTTCTGTAATTCGGTATTTACGTATTGGCTAGCGTGACTGGGCTCGGGTGAGAGAAGACGTATGTAGTGTCATCTGCAATTAGTGTGGGTTTGAGTAATTGCGAAGCATTTGGAAGGTCATTTTGTATAGGAGGAAAGAGAAGAGGGCCAAGGACACTTCCCTGTGGGACCCCAACTGTAATTGGTTGCGCGGAAGAGTTTGCCCCATTTGCGTACACATATTGGCTTCTGTTGCTGAGGTATGACTTGAGGTAGTTGAGGGAGTCCCCTCTTATACCAATAGTGTGACAATTTTACGTGGAGCAAGTCATGGTCAACTGTATCAAAAGCTTTCGTAAGTCAATGAAGATCCCCAGTGGGACTTCTTTTTTTTCTATTGCAGTGTATATATGTTCTGCATGTGTATAATAGCATCATTAGTTTTTTATTAGGCCTGAATCCAATTGGCAGGGGTTGAGTATGTTTTGGGAGTTAAGGTAGGAGTAGATTCGTTTATGAATTAATTTTTCGAAGATTTTTGAGAGGGGTGTAAGTTGGATATTGGCCTATAGTTATTCTAACTCTGTTTGGTCTCCTCCTTGTGGATCGGGGTGACCCTTGCTATTTTGAGTACTGTAGGGAAGGTGGAGGATTCAATGGATTTTTTAAAGTGTGTTGCAATGATTGGTGATAGCACTTGTGCCCACTTTTTTGTATATAAGGGGTGGTAAGGTATTTAAATCTCTCCCTTGTTTTTTAGTGCGTTGATAATAAGGGAGACTTCGTATGGGTTAGTCGGAGCTAGGAACAGTGTGTTGGGGTAGTTGCCGGTGAGGTAGTCATTTGGTGGGGTATCTGAGCTTGGGATTTTATTGGCAAGGTTTTGTCCTATAGTGGAGAAGAAATCATTGAGTCTGTTTGCTGTTTCTGTTGGGGGAGTTGGGGGTCATCTGTTTTTGCTAATTTTATTTCGCTATTTCGTGATATCTTTTTTGTTCCCAGAATTTTGATAGGGTTTTCAGGTCTTTTTTATATCACCTCGTAAGTTGGATAATCTTTTCTCATAATACATTTTTTTTGCCCTTCTTATCAGGCTGGTTAGGATTGACGAGTAAGTTTTGTTTGGTCTCTGGTTATGTGCCCCATTCTGTACTGTTTTTCAAAATTGGTGTTTTGTATTTATGGATTTGAGAATGTGGGTGTTAGCCAGGGACTGTTCAGTCTCTTTGCTGTCATCTGTTTAGTTTTTTAGGGCAGTGCTTGTTATAGAGGTATTGGGTTTTTTTTAAAAAATTTATTAATACATTCGTCAATTCTGTTTTGGTTTCTAGCTCAGTGTGCCAATCAATGTTTGCTATTGCTGTTGTGAAGTTATTAATGGCTGCCTCATTGTGAAGTCTGAAGGTGACTTTAGTAGTGTCTTGGGGGGAGTTTACCAAGAGTTGTTATGAGGAAAGTTTGGGTAGTGGGTCTGTGGTATTTCTGTAATTATGCCTGATTTTAAAGGGGATATGGTGTTGGGTCCAGATGTGGTCAAGTAGGGATACACTAGGGCTCTGTAACTCTTGTAGGTTTTGTTACTGTTGTTTGTAACATACAGTTACTCATTGTGTTTGTGAATTCAGTAACATGTGGGTCCTGGTCTTGCAGGAGATTTATATTGAAGTCACCTGAGAGTAGTAAGTGTCCTTTGTTCATGCGTGCATCAGTTATCATACTTCCTAGATTTTGACTAAATTGGCTAATGTTTGACTGTGGAACTCTGTAGATGTTTATCAATGTGAGAGGTTTTTGTAGGTACTTTGATTTGAATTTAGCTATTATATATTCCCCATGTTCATCCCTTGTGCAAGTATTAGTGATACATTCTAGTTGGTCTGAGTAGTATATGGCTGTTTATGGATTTTTATTTCTACAAGTACATATACAAGGTATACAGTCCTAGCCGATATCAATGACATACTACTATAAAGAAAACCCCTTATGCTGAGCATTTCGGGCAAATAAGGTCAATTTTGTCCTAGGATGTGAACCATACCCTCACACACTGAGGGTATGAGGTGAGTGCACTAAGAATCGAGCTACGGGACAGTTACCTTTGTTAAGAACAGCTACAGCAGTGTTTGCTGTACAGTATTTGCACTTATTGTCAGTAAGCTGTTACTTATTTTTCCTTTCAGAGGTTAAGTTCTGGGTCGATGTTTTTTATTCTGAATAATGAAGGTAGCTACACTAGGTAAGAAAAATGTCTGTGTAAAAATCCAGAGTCAGTGTATGGATATGTACACAAGCATGTGCAAATGAGGTTATAACATTATATAAGTAGGTTAACACTAATATTAATTTTAGCTAGGTCATGTATGTAGGTTAATTGTTTTTACGATATAATGCAGATTTCAATCAAATGTGGCAAAACCAGTTGAAGATTGTGTATATAAAACAAACACTTAGGATAACCCAGAAACGTCATTATAGGCCTTGCTTGTTTTGCTTTGTTGTCTCAAAATAAACAAAGCAAAACCGAAATATTTGGATCAATCCTGTACCATTATCAAGCACTGTGGGAACAGAAATGCGACTAATTCTGCAGTTGAAGAAGACAGGGCCGTGATCTCGCCGGCCTCAAGAACCCATCCACTGCATTCCTGAAATAGATAAAAAAATTAAATTATGATTCAATACTGACTTTCAGAATGTAAATATAACGCCTCGGGAAATCACTCACATATGCAATACATCGCCATATAAATTTTTTCGAGCCTAAAGCATGACCCATAGAGGTTAAACACCTTCGTGAAAACTGTGTATACAAGATATATATATAATATATATATATATATATATATATATATATATATATATATATATATATATATATATATATATATATATATATATATGTGTGTGTGTGTGTGTGTGTGTGTATAATATGCCGAATAGGTAAAACTTGCTATTTTAGTAGCAACGCTCTTGCCGAATTAGGCAAGCGAAAATTTGTGTATGCAATAATTTCGCAAAAATCATTGACCCTACCAAAAAAAATATTTCATTGTGTTTATTTATTATTAAATTATTGTAAACCTTACCTATGTAAAATATATTTAGTTGGATTAGGCTAAATTGCACTTGTTATAATACGGTTAGGCAAGTTTCCTGGAATATACCTGGAGAGGGTTTCGGGGGTCAACGCCCCCGCGGCCCGGTCAGAGACCAGTCCTCGTGGTGGATCAGGATCTGATCAACCAGGCTGTTACTGCTGGCCGCACGTAAACTGATGTACGAACCACAGCCCCGCTAGTCGGGTACTGACTTTAGGTGTCTGTCCAGTGCCTTCTTGAAGACAGCCAGGGGTCTATTGGTAATCCCCCTTATGTTTGCTGGGAGGCAGTTGAACAGTTTTTGGCCCCTGACACTTATTGTGCTCTCTGTGTACTCGTGGCACCCCTGCTTTCATTGGGGGAATGTTGCATCGTCTGCCGAGTCTTTTGCTTTCATAGGGAGTGATTTTCATGTGCAAGTTTGGTATTAATCCTTTTAGGATTTTCCAAGTGTGTATTATCATGTATCTCGCCTGCGTTCCAGGGAATACAAATCAAGGGACTTCAACCGTTCCCAGTAATTTAGGCACCTTATCGTACTTATGTGTGCCGTGAAAGTTCTTTGTACACTCTCCAGGTCAGCAATTTCGCCTACCTTGAAGGAGGCAGTTAGTGTACAGCAGTATTCCAGCCTAGATAGAACAAATGATTTGAAAACACTCATCATAGGCTTGGCGTCCCTCATTTTTCTAGCAGATGCGATAGATGCAGTGTTGTGGTCTTCGAAGGCGAGATTCTCTGACATGATCACTCCCATGTCCTTCACATTACTTTTTCGCTCTATTGTGTGGTTAGAATTTGTTGTATACCCTGATAGTTTTAATTTTCTTAAGTTTTCCATATCTGAGTAGTTGAATTTTCTCTTCATTTAATTTTTGAGTAGCCCATCTGGAGATTTGGTTGATACCCACTTGGAATCTTGCGGTGTCTTCGATGGATTCGGGTGTCATTTGCCAAGGAAAACATGGAGCTATAGCTTACATCTGTCTGTCAGATATGAGGATGAGGAATAGGTTGGGAGTAAGTATTGTGCCTTGTGGTTAGTTTTTTTTAGTTTAATATCTTTATTATGCACCCTATACCCATCCTGTGGGCGGTAGACAAAAGATTACATAGGTACATAATGGGTACAGGGACTGGACCCCAAAGTTATGATAGATAGCTGAACTAGTTACAAAGGTAATGAACTCCAGGTAGATCTGGTCACAATCATGGCAAGTTACAAAGGTAATGAATCAGCCTCACTCCTATACATGGTTACAGTCATGAACAAATTACTACAAAGTAATGAGCCACTGACATATGCACACGAGCGTACAAATATATGCATACACACAAGCATGCATGCACACACACACACACACAGAGCAGATATGTTGTGCGTGCCACTTACCACAATCTTCAACACATCCCTGGAAACTGGGCAACTACCTGAGGTATGGAAGACGGCAAATGTAGTTCCCATTTTTAAAAAAGGAGACAGAAAAGAGGCACTAAACTATAGACCTGTGTCATTGACGTGTATAGTATGCAAAATTATGGAGAAGATTATCAGGAGGAGAGTGGTGGGGCACCTGGAACGGAACAGGAGTATAAATGCCAACCAGCACGGATTCACGGAAGGCAAATCCTGTGTCACAAACCTTCTGGAGTTTTATGATAAAATAACAGAAGTAAGACAAGAGAGAGAGGGGTGGGTTGATTGCATCTTCTTGGACTGCAAGAAGGCCTTTGACACAGTTCCTCATAAGAGATTAGTGCAGAAGCTAGAGCATCAGGTGCATATAACAGGAAGGGCACTGCAATGGATCAGAGAATACCTGACAGGGAGGCAACAACGAGTCATGGTACGTAATGATGTATCACAGTGGGCACCTGTGACGAGCGGGGTCCCACAGGGGTCGGTCCTAGGACCAGTGCATTTTTGGTATATGTGAACGACATGACAGAAGGGTTAGACTCAGAAGTGTTCCTGTTTGCAGATGATGTGAAGTTAATGAGAAGAATTAAATCTGATGAGGACCAGGCAGGACTTCAAAGAGACCTGGACAGACTGGACACCTGGTCCAGCAAATGGCTTCTCGAATTTAATCCTGCCAAATGCAAAGTCATGAAGATAGGGGAAGGGCACAGAAGACCACAGACAGAGTAATAGGCTAGGTGGCCAAAGACTGCAAACCTCACTCAAGGAGAAAGATCTTGGGTGAGTATAACACGAGCATGTCTCCGGAAGCACACATCAATCAGATAACTGCTGCAGCATATGGGCGCCTGGCAAACCTGAGAACAGCATTCCGATACCTTAGTAAGGAATCATTCAAGACACTGTACACCGTGTATGTCAGGCCCATACTGGAGTATGCAGCACCTGTTTGGAACCCGCACTTGATAAAGCACGTTAAGAAACTAGAGAAGTACAAAGGTTTGCGACAAGGTTAGTTCCAGAGCTAAGGGGAATGTCCTATGAAGAAAGATTAAGGGAAATCGGCCTGACGACACTGGAGGACAGGAGGGTCAGGGGAGACATGATAACGACATATAAAATACTGCGTGGAATAGACAAGGTGGACAAAGACAGGATGTTCCAGGGAGGGGACACGAAACAAGAGGCCACAATTGGGAAGTTGAAGACACAAATGAGTCAGAGAGATATTTGAAGTATTTCTTCAGTCATAGAGTTGTAAGGCAGTGGAATAGCCTAGAAAATGACTTTAGGGGAGGCAGGAACCCTACACAGTTTAAGACGAGGTTTGATAAAGCTCATGGAGCGGGGAGAGAGAGGGCCTAGTAGCAACCGGTTGAAGAGGCGGGGCCAGGAGTAGGACTCGACCCTGCAACCACAATAGGTGATACAAACACCACAACAACAAAAACACACACACACACCACACACAAAACACTACACACACACACACACACACATACACACACACACACACACACACACACACACACACACACACACACAAACACACACACAGTAAAAGTACATTATTTACAGCTAGCAAAGTCAGGGTATTTCTCCAGAATGGTCTGTAATATACCACTGTGGATAAAATACTTTGCCATTTCTTGAACATTTCTGAGTGAGTTGTCTCTAAATTCATTAATTTGATCACACTCCAGTACATAATGACGCAAGGTGTGACAATAGTCCATCTGGCAAAGTATACATTTCGTTTGGTCTACATCTTGTGGAACAGAGCTTTTCGCCGTAGCTGCCTCGGACTTTACTCTGATTACTATTACTCTGTGTTCTATTTGTTAGGAAGTCATAGATCCATCTACCAACTTTTCCTGTTATTCCTTTATCACACATTTTTTGCTCTGTTACACCATGGTCACACTTGTCGAAGGCTTTTGCAAAGTCTCTGTATACTACATCTGCATTTTGTTTATCCTCTATAGCAGCCAGGACCTTGTCATAGTGGTCCAGTAGTTGGGACAGGCAGGCACAACCTGTTCTAAATCCGTGTGGTGTAACTAATGGGTGTGGTTGGCGATCCTGCTTCTAAGAACCCTTTCACAGATTTTTATGATAAGGGATGTTAGTGCTATCGAGCTGTAGTTCTTTGCAATTGCATTACTGCCCCCTTTGTAGAGTGGGGCTATGTTGTTTTTAGTGAGTGTGGGATGACCCCTGTGTCCATGCTGTCTCCATAGAATGCTGAAAGCACATGACAGGGTCTTCTTGCAGTTCTTGATGAACACGGAGTTTCATGAATCTGGGCCTGGGGGCAGAGTGCATGGGCATGTCATTTCTTGCCTTTTCAAAGTCCTGTGGAATTAAGATAATATCAGAGATTTTTGAGATGACCAAATTTTGAGTCTCGTTCATAAAAAAATCATTTAGATTGTCGACCCTTAGTCTGGGGCAGCGGCTCGCTGAACATTGAGTCATATTGGGACTTTAGTATCTCATTTCTTAGCTGTCATCTGTGTATATCCCATCTCGCCTAAGCAGAGGCCCAATACTTGATGTTTTCCCTTAGATTTGGCATAAGAGAAGAAGTTTTTTTTAGTTTTCTTTATGGCTTTTAGTTCTGAGATTCTTGTCTCCTGTAATATTCCTTCAGCTTAGGTTCGATATTTACTATTTCACTGACCAGTACCTCCCTTCGAATTTCTGATATATTGACCCCTCACAGTAGCTCTGTGATTCTTCACCTTCGTCTGTATAGGGAGCGTCTCTCCCTTTCTAGTTTACATCTTTCCTTTTCTTAATGTAATGTGCCTTGAGCAGACCTCAAGAAGCAGTTAATTTTTTCTAGGCAAAGGTTCTGATCCGTATTGTTTAGGATATCTCCCCAGCTTGTTTCATATAGGACATGGATGACTTGTTCCCATTGTATGTTTTTGTTATTGAAGATTAATTTTTTGAAGACACCCTCTTGAGTGATCACATTTTGCTGGTCAGGAGCCCTGTGCATACATGTCTGTATCTCTGTTATGTTGTGATCTGAGTGTATTGTCGCTGATACGGTTATGTTACGTATCAGATGGTCATTGTTAGTGAAGACTATGTCCAGCACATTTTCTAGTCTTGT